TTATTTCCGAATGTACTTTATCTTATATTGATTTTGTTCAAATGTTTAACCAATGTTTACTCATGCATATAAATGAATTAAAAGTTGTGTGAGTACCTTAATATGATTATTAACAACAGTTTGTTCTCAAAGAGAGATCAGTTAATATTACTGTATAACACTGTGTGATTTATCAAAATAAAATCTTATCTATAATAGAGATAGACAGAAGACCAGATTCGATTCTTCTCTCTCAAACACTTGACTTATGTTACCCACCAATGAAACATCAAGAGACGGAATCGGTATGTGCTGAAGAGAAAATAAACATCACCGGAATGTCATGCATTTAGTGCTTGGCTTTGGTGCAGACTGAATTCTATCAGCCGAGTTTCCAATGTGGTGACTAACCATCATGGTGCACTCTTAATCGGTATCAGACTTTGAATAAAGCAAGAACAACACTGGTTTATGCAGAATAATATGTCACCATCATTTATTTCGTTGGCTTCTCATCAGCTGCTTACAGTCTAAATAAATCATGAGGTTTACGTACAGAAAAGTTTTAACATACTTGCAAATTTTACATGTTGTCAGTTGACAGAAAGTTCCACAATTAGTGGACAGTGCTCAGAAAATTACGCTTATATAGTTTTTACGCAGGCACTTCAAGTCAAAATAAATTTATGCATACAATGGTAAAGGAGTTACGCAATAAAGACGAGAGGTGAGTAAGATGATGAGTAACTAATAAATTTGGTAACGATGTCCTGAGTTCAACTCACGTCATAGAGACAAGAGACAACCAAAATTACAGATTATAAAAAGGGGGGTGAAGTTAAAGACAAAGATTACGTAATCAGAGCAGAGAATAAAGACATGAAGTTACCATGGCAAGGAAAGACTAACAACTGCTTCTTTCTGAACACATAAATCTGGTTTGAAGCGTTTGATAGAAATTGCTTCGGCAAACTTGAGGAGAATGGAGCTCCTTTGTCTATTGATAATGTTAAAGGACTTCTTGATTTCCACCTCATGACCCGTGTCGAGGAGATGCCTGGCAATGGCACTGTTCAAAGCATTTGTTTCCTTCAGACGTAAGCTTTTTGGTACATGTTCAGGGAATCGTAGATATGCCCGTCTTTCTGTCTTTCCAATGTAACTGCTTCCACAGATACATGCAAATTTGTATATACAGTTGGAGTAAACATGAGAAGGATATCTATTGATTTTTGATTGCACCAAAGAGTAAGTTGTTCGATAGACGGGGACGCGGTTAGCTGCAGGATAGGCTATGGCTAGTGATGTATTCAGCCTTCTGTTGATCATCGCTGCAACGTTTTCACCTTTATAATCAAGCTGAAAGTAGATTGTCTTTTTACTCACTGTGATTTTTTTTACATTTGTGACTCCAGATCTTCCATACCTGTTGATGAACTTTTGAGGGTACCCACTGCTCTTCAATGTCTTATCAAGAAATTCAAGTTCTTCCTCTATTTCCTATATAGAGCATTTTCTCCTCGCTCTATAGTACAGAGTCTTGACTAGTCCGCGTTTAAAGCTATTTGAACAAAAGCTATTAAAATGTAACTATTGTCCATTCTATTTAGACTTTCGGTAAATTGGCTTTTGAAGACTACCATCTTCGAGGCGTTCCGTGGCAATGTCGAGGAAGTGATAGAATTTATTCTCTGTCGGACTAGTGACTACACTCACGACGTTGGTTATTCTCTAATGATCAATCAAAGTATCCATTATGGTCCTTCAGTAGATCAATTACAAGTTCAGATATCTGCGTGATGACATTTCTAACCGCAATACTGGGTGATGCAGGTTCAAATCTGAAAAAGGATATGACTTTCGTCAGGATGGCAAATACATCTTCTTGACGCCTGCCAAGAAGTACTTAATCTAGGTCCTGGGTTTCCTGCCAATTTCTTTCAACCACGTTTTATCAAGTACATCATTTATATACGCTACCAATAATTGATTAGATTGGCTATATAAGATCGGTCATTGTTATATACACCTGGTTATGCCTAATTTTGCCTAAAACCTTAAAGTAACTAGCTCTAAAGGAGTTATTGCGCACTGGCGTTCACCCTTTGTTTTTCCCTCCGTTAGGATCGCTGGATTCCCGTTGGCTGTTAATATTTATAGTGAATCACTGAGTTACTGAATTTTCAAGGTCATTTTAGCTGTATATATGCAAAGTTTCTGTCTAGACTTTGACTGTTCTTTGAGACAGTAAAAGCTCTCATATCAACATCCAGTCTCTTTTTGCCGGCTGTGTTATTGTTGTTGTTGCTACTGACGTACGATTAGCACAGATCAGCCAGCGCACTAAGTCAGTATTCGCTGGTAGTCTAGTAGGTCGTAGTTCCGGTCATAATAGCCACCAAAGGTTGCTCAATAAATTTACGCCAATTGTACAATGACTGAGATGGATGCATGGCAAAGTTCAACAATAGCGTCCCAGGAGTGCGAATGCTCCAATGACCTTGAACGCATGCTAGTCGTTGGCTAATGGCACCTGTCATTATCATAGCTGAAATATCAACGCTATTCACCAACTAAGCAGCAAATTTCACTCAAATCACGCTTTTTAAGTACTTTTTGGACAATGTGTTAATAGCTCGTTAGGGTTAGGACTAGGTTTAAGGTAACTGTTGGGTTAGAATCAGGGTCATAATTAGGATTAGGGTTAGGTTTACGGTTAGGATCAGAGTTAGGGTTACGACTAGGGATAGATTTATAGTTGATGTCATTTATTTTAATTTGTTTTCTTATCCACATTTTCCTGGTAAGTAGTCGTCGATCCTCTTACTGCGAACCATAATAATTCAACCAAGGGTTTTGGGGAAGACTGCACAGCAAAATAAGAGAGACGAACGGTTCACAAAAACAGCTCATCTTCAGTCACCTCGGTGAATACATGTACAGAAACTAGTCTAACTTAGCAGCTGATACTTCTCACTAAAACTGGGACATATTTTTAAGTCATGTCAGAGAAAGATACTCTGTTTAATGTATTTTCATGCACTTTCTTATAAATATACGTCATTTTTCGTGCAAAATTCCTCATTTTTATGATTGGTCAGCTCAAGGTCAGCCATGCATTCTCAACCCTGTCGGACGCAATTGTTGAACTTTGCCTATTGTTCCTGGTTTAAACCAGTTTTAGGCCGACTGTAGCCTAAAAAATATACTTATTTTGAGATCAGGCGAAAGTATAATAAACCAACATTTCCTTATCCATTATAAATTATTTAAATTAATACCAGCGTGTCAAGAAAGTCAAAACAAGATTTTACTGAACGTTTCGCCGTGTAAGCCACATCTTCTTCAGCAGATTTATTCGGATTTTTATTAATCATCAAAATATATAGTCAAGAAATTTCTTTTACATAAATTAAAGTGAGTCAGTTTATTTGAAGGTCATTTGTCCACAGACATTTGTACCAATAGAAAATATGTAAGCAGTCATCACATATATTTGTAAGACTAATGTCAAATTGCTGTTGTGTATAGTCTTCTATAGTTTTGTGTGAGTGTGTGTGTATATATGTTATTTGTCATATGGAAAATACGTGAATTCATATGTGATAAACATGATACTACATGTTTTTAAAGGTCATGGAGGCTCATAGAGTGTTTGTTGGTTTTTCATCTGTCTTGCTTCATAAGAGTTTGCCATATAGGTGATAAGTCTATCCCTTCTTTCCTATTTACTGCATTCGATGTGATTAAAATGTGCAAGGCTTCAAAAGTCAATCTTTCTTTATATGTGAATGAAATCCTCTTCCAAGAATTTCAACGTTGTCGAAATCAATCTTATGTCCGCTGTCTATCGCATGTATTGCTACAGCCGATCTTTTTCTAGACTTCGAATTCTACTTCATTTCTAGGGGGGCGTTTCGTGCATAGTCTGTGTTCATTCACTCTGACCTTCACCTGCCTACTGTTCTCCGCTATATAGTATGCATCACATTCTGAACACTTTATCCTATAGACACAATTACTTTGTGACATTCTGGGAACTATATCTGTGACATGCACCAACGCTTTCTCCAGAGAATTAGAAGGTTTGACATAGACTTCAATTCATGTAGAAAATTTTTGAGTATATATTTTGATGAATAATAAAAATCCGAATAAATCTGCTGAAGAAGCTATGGCTTACACGGCGAAAGGTTCAGAAAAATCTTGTTTTGATTTTCTTGACACGCTGGGATTAATTTAGATAATTTATAGTGAATCAGTCTGATTCGGCGCTCAAATTATTCCAGGAAGTTCGTAAAACCTACGGTCTGGAAACTTATTATCTAACATTTCCTTATAGCTACACCATGAATTGAGCAGTAAAGTCCACTTTAAAATGATCGAATAACATGACTGGAGAACAAAAGAAATAACGTTCTCAAGTAAGTAAACGAGATAATAAAAAAATCAATGACTGAAATACAATCCCAAAGAATCGTCACCATGAAAGAAATATGACCTTCTAACAAAGTAGGTCAGTTTCCCAAGCAGTTTCACTAAGTATTTCGTAAATTTGTGGATTTGAGACATTATCAAATACAGTCATGAAGGTTACAGGATTTCATCATGAGCTGACATTGGTTGGAGAACCATTGGAAAACCTGGGAATACTGGACAGCTGTTTCGTCCTAGTTTGATGCCACACCGTATTTTCAGTACAAGTATGGAATTTTCAGCATGCGATATCGGTAGCCCAAATTTTGCAGGCCGACCATAGATATCAGATGTGCGTCGGCAGGGGATTGAACACCAGACCATGTGCATGGTTGGCGAGAGTCCTAACCGCTATGCCACCGACGCACCAAAGAGTGCGTCTCCTTGACAGGTATATCTCCAGTATGGACCAACTCTACTAAAGAGACCTGAAAGTCAGCTTTACTTGGTAACTGTGACGCAGTTTGTTCCACATGTGATTCCAGATTGAGAGACTGCAACGAGACTGACTAGACATCAGCTGAATCTCTGTTTTTTGGCTCACCTCAAGAATCCGTTGGAGACATAGGTGGAAAAACCGTAACAAGTGTTAGAGGACTACGAGCAATACTGATAGGAAGATCGGATTCCTCGGTTGTTATTGTATTGTAAGTTTCAGTAGACGATGAAGTTCCTGGCCTAAACTGAGTTAGTAAATGTGATCTAGTTGGTGCTTCAGAGACAACTGATGTGAAAGTTGACAGGAGAAGTTGGTTGGTCTGAAATAGCAGATGCGCTTCCTCCAAAGAATCTTCAAGGTCCATATTTTGTAAGGCTGAAACAAAGTCCTGTGATATTCCATCTTGATCCAAATGAACAGCTGACGCTTCTTTCACAGGATCCAGCTCGTGAAACAAAAGGAATACTGAAATACTTATATGCGTCCGCATCCATGATCCAGGATAGAAGTTGGATAATTTATCCTTTACCACATCATCCAATCTTCCAGGAATATTGTCTTTCAAGAATACAGTTTTGACTTTGAGACAGTCATTTGACTCTAAAACCAAAAAGAAGCAACACCTACCCATTGTTGCGAACCAGTTCCATGTTATAATGTGAATTGAATACATTTTGACGTTATTTATTATTCTCCGATTTGTCTGGTAATAATATCTTCCGTATCTCTGGTATTTGCGTTGAGTCACTTCTGTTGCATTTGTTGGATGTAAACTCGATGAACCAAGATTCAGTTATCAATCTCTCTGTCCACCAACCTATATTACTTTTTAGAATTTTGACTCAGTCCCACCCACCCTATTGTGTGGTTGTCTGTCACTGCATGCAGTATGATTACTGAGTTTTTTTCTAAATTACTTATCTTCGTGGGATCAATCATTCTAACCCTAGCTACATTCTTATGTTCTGACAATCTGACTACCACCGATCTACTAGTTTGACCCATTTAGTTGAACTTACTCACAGTCATTGTAAGGTATTTTGTAAATTATACTATTTCGTCTAATTCGGTCTACCGTGCACTTAAACCTATAGAGCTGTCTCTGAGTGAGTTTGCAGGTTTAAATGCCACTCTAATTCCTGATTTACTGACAATCCTACGTGGGGCCTCAGATGTCCCCTCCTTATATGGTAGAACTGTAGATGCCTTATATTCTTTCTTATTTATGTCATTTAGTTTCCTTTTCAAATCATATGAAAAAGTTAGCCAAGAGTTTGAATGATTTCTAGTGGCACACAGTATTAGAGCTATGTGTTTTGATAATTCATATGTAGGCGTATTTCTGAAATCCACTATTGGTTTTATGGGGTAACCTGGTTTATGTATTTTTACAGTACCATATATTCGACTAGCGTTATTAGTTTTAGGCATTACGTTAAACCATTTAGACCCACCCAGTGACAGCTTCATACTGTGTATTAAATCCGCTTCTTAATTTTCCCATATGGACCCGTTTCAATGCATTTAGTGACTTTCTTTATATAGACTTTTATAAACCTTCTTTATAAACCACTTGCGTGGTTGGCCAGCATCCTAATGGTGTGCCACCGCCACACATAGTTTTCCGTATGATGCAGTTTGGTAATTCATAGGATGTTCCGACTGTTTACCTATATTTGACCTGACCTCAGAATGGTTTAGTAAAAAATGTCATCGGCAAGCATGATCTTCAAATTTCAAGTCGTTTACGTCCTCTAGAAACATATTTACGCTTTAGGTTATCAAGATAATGAAATATTTTAATGGCTCAAAACTGCAGAGTTTTTACTCGTTCCCTTGCTTTCCGAGTATGTTTAGAGTTGGAGTTTTAGTAGCTGTAGTGCTGCTTTCATCTGGTAACGCTGGTAACCTAACGCCTAACCTTCCTCTTTCCCCAGCTTACTATCGATCAACCTCTGAAATGTGCCAATTTAAGGAGCGCGAGATTCAGGAGTTGGATGGCTGGGAATCGAACCCTTGACTACAAGTTTGGTTGAAGAGTATTCTACCAGTGAACCGTCGACGCACAAACTATCTAATATCATCAATTCGATGTGCACCATGATGGTGAGCTACCTAGAATGGTGGCCAAATTGCAAACCTGATTGGTAGAATTCAGTCTGCACCAAAGGAAGGACTAGACACGTCACACTAGTTACTAGTGTCCAATCAAAATGCCCACTACAGTCCTACAGGAGGTCAATCGCGAGCCTGAATAGCTCAGTGGTAAGGTCTCTGACTGCAGCACTGCACTGGGTGACGCGGGTTCGAGTCTCGGAAGGGACGTGAGTTCTTTCAAAGTTTCAAATACGCCTTGCTGACTGGTGAGTGCCAACTAGCACGAAACCTTGGTCGAAGGCTTCCTGTGGGCGATTGCCTCCAACTATCTAATATCATCACAGGTTTTAACTGTCGAAAAATCTACATCAATTAGTACATTTTATCGATTCTTACAAAACAATAGAAAGATGCTGTTTATTAGTGAATCGTAATGTATTGACATAACACATTTTCCTCTGACTGTTGAAATATTCTTGGAATATTTAAAAATATCTGATACTTAGTAGACACCACTTGTTGTTCATATTTTATGCTGAACACCTATTCCAACAAAAATGATTACAATCCTCCCCCCGAACAATTCTCTCAGCTTTGACGTCAGTACAATACATCAAGTTTTTTTTACAGTCTCTAAGTAAACATTTGAAATTTTAGTGTGACTACATTAATTGAAAGTTGTTATTTTATGTTTTCAGGAAATTAATGGTACTGTTTTCAAACAGAATTCTGTTCCCCTTTTTTTCAAATTTCACTTACAAGATTATGATTTCATTTTAAGCATCTCGTAGAGAAAGTTAGCATCACTGAGTCAACACGTAATTAAACTAGCGTTATACTGTTACATTTTTTCAGGTATAACTAATTTCGCGTTGATGTGTCTCCGCGTGATTGATCAATTTCGCTTTAATATTATTATTATTCATTTTGGTTCCTAGTGGAACATAGGGCTTCAACTGCACGTCTCCACTTGCTTCTGTCTTCTCCTGTACTTTTCACCTGCATCCATGTTAGTCCATACTATTTCAGCTCCTCTTCACACGATCTCCTCCATGTCACCCTTGGATGTCCCACTCGCCGCTTCCCTTTCGGTTTCCACTCGAGCTATGACCTGACGCGCGATGTCACCCAGCGGCTTCCTCAGCGAGTGTCCAATCCATCTCCACTTTCTCCTGCATATTCGTTGAACGATTGGTTCTTGTTTTGTTTGTTCCCATAGTTTCTTGTTGGTGATTGTTTCCGGCCATCTGATCTTCAGTATAGAGCCAGCGAAGACAGTTGTTGATAAAGGTCTGCAACAGGCTGTTGGAAATATTCTTTGTGACCCACCAAGTTTCTGATGCGTATAGAAGAACTGACTGACTTGACGTTTGTATTGAAAATCCGAATTTTGTTGTTGATGATGAGTTGAGTGATGAAGATTTTCAGATTGGTTTCAGGTTGATGAATGTGTTTCTCGCCTTCCCGATTCTCGATTTGACATCCTCGTCCGTTCCAGCTGCCTGTAGTTGAGACAATGCTCCCCAGATAAGTGAAAGAAGTAACCTCTTTCAAATCCCTCCCGTTGATGGTGATTGGCGCTGGATGTTGCTGTTGTTGTTGTTGTTGTTGGTTGGTTATTTTAATAACCTCCGTCTTGTCTATGTTCACCTGGAGTCCTGTCTCCTCTGGCTGCTTCTTCGACCAGTTTGTCGGTTTTCGCTTGTAAGTCTTCGATTTTGTGTGACATCAAACATAAATCATCCACGCGCGAAATCCAGGTCTTCTAGATTTTTCACGTCGGTCCAGGATATCCCTGTCTCCTCGTTTCCCACTGTCTGACGCATAATCCAGTCCACCACAATTAGGAATATCATTGGTGATAATAAGCACCCTTGTCTGACTCCTGTGTTTACTCGCTTTAGCATATGAAATTTTTTAACGGGTACCTCGATATTACCAAGACTAGGAACCTGAGGTTAAGGCAGTAAAATCCAGGATGTGTGTTTTCTCCCATTTAAGATTCCTCATCTGGATGGACCTTCACCACCAGGTGAGTGAAGGTAATTATTCCCACTGCGATTCAAACCCAGTACGCATCACTTCAATCCCCAAAGTGCTCTATACTAGGCCAGTGTACTACTGATGTTTTGAAGGCACTAACATCTAAAAACAACACTCTCGAAAAAAGAAAATTCAGACATTACTTTCTTTAGTTAGAATTTTGTTTTACATAGAAATATATTAACTTACTTTTTACACGATAACTAACCTAAATTCAGTTTTTTTCATTCGCTGAAGTGAAACAGAAAATGTAACCAATAATTATTTAGATTATGCAGTTTGTGAAGATTTAGATCATTAGATTTCATCACGAACTAACATCAGTTAGACAGATCATCAAAAACCAGGGAGTACTGGACGGCTATTTCGTCCTATTTTAGGACTCGTCATCGGCACGAACCCATGTCGAGCCTGAAACCTTCGGATTACAAGACCAAACTCATTGACCATTCGGCCACGTGCTCCGGAATTCAATGATATTAATCCAAATTCCAACAAATCCCTTGACGTATATATCACTCTTTGATTCCTTGTCGGATACCGGAGGTGTGTCCTGAAGCTGTACTGGGAAGTCGTAACTGATGGTGTTCACTATGTCAAGGTGAAGTTGAAGCTCATCAGAGGCATCGGTTTCGGGTAGCGTTAGAACTGAAAACGTTAGAATTTACGGGCAACTGGAATCCTGTCCCAGGTGGCTAAATGACCTGTGAGACTTGTTCCGAAACCTGAACGTTCTGGGTTCGATTCCCGGTAGATTCGTGGTTTTCAATGATTCTCTAATTGATGTTCGTTCATGACGAAATATAACAGTGGGAATAGTAATTAACTGTCTCAAAATAATTTATAGCACCCATGCAATTGGCTAAAAAAATTCAAGGGAAAAGAACAAGAAGTTCAGTAAAGATATCTTTTCGGCCATTTCATTCTCAAAAGCAGCTATACAATAGCATTTAGATACATTAGTTTACATGGATACCTATTATTATTTATTTAATTCCACATAGTAACGAAGGTGATAAAAATTTCCAACTTGATATGAAAGTTTGAAGGTACGAATATAGAATACAAGGGGCTTAGAGACAATTGATATAAGTATAAAACTTGGGCACTGTGGTAGAGTATAACTCCATAATGGTTAAGATTTTATTTTGATGAATCACACAGTGTTGTACAGTTATATTAACTGATGACGTTTCGAGCACAGACTATTGCTCATAATCATATCAAGGTACTCCAAACATGTATATAAATGAAGGAAAGAAGTTGTGTGAGTACCTTGATATGATTATGAGCAATAGTCTGTGCTCGAAACGTCATCATTTAATATAACTGTACAACACTGTGTGATTCATCAAAATAAAATCTTAACCATTATGGGGCTTAGAGACAAGATTACATAGGATTAAAAAACACTTAAAACGTATGCAAAATTAATATTTAATAACTGGAGAAATAATTTTAAATTCGGATAAAAGGTGATAGTTATTTTCA